CACACACACACACACACACACACACACACACTCCATTTAGCTTCCTGTTCATCAGAACGAGATATCTGTCCCAGGGTCAGATGTGTTTGTTGTGCTTTATACATATCCTGAGAAACGATCGTTGCCTCCTAACAGCTGGTGTGTGATGTCACAGTGAGGAACTTGTAGCTAAAGGGGAAGTAGCTGGCATGAGGAACATATTTTTTTGTTGTTGTTATAATACAAAGGTACAAACTATCCAACGGAGACCTCACACTCTAGGTACACAGTCCTTCCTGGACTATTTGTCCTGTTTCCACACAACGTAGCGTCTCTTGATGACCATCGGCTCGTCTTTCACAACATATAACTGTGATAAACAATGTGATCTTGCGCGGGAGGAACTCTATAACCAAACTCAAAGGGCAGAGGAACTGACACTACAAAGACTGTTTTAAAATAATATAGCAGGGGGTGGTTTTTATTTGATTTGAACATTTATTTGAACATTATTTCTGTATGTTTTAATTGTTTTATTGGACAGTAATGTGTCCTAATGCTGGAACTGGATCAGGTGTCTTTCACTGCAGCGCCCTCTCTCCTTCTCTGCTCCTTTTTGTTCAGTTCGTATAGACGAGATCATTCTCCAAACCTGCCATGCAGGCTGGTCTGTCTTTAGATCTTAGCTGCAGAACAGAACAATAGGGCACAGCATGTTTCTCCTAGCTAACTCCCAGTGTGTTGACTGTTAATGGTACTTTATAGTCAGCCGATGTGTTTATGGGTACATAGTCTGGTCGTTTTGATTTAACTGTTGTATATGTGGTACGTTGTCAGGCCAGTATAAGATGACTCTGTGGTACACTGTCTTCAGCCCGGCTGGTGTCAGCACCTTCGGCCATCAGCCTGGTCCCGTTATGCTTTTGCACATTAAGGATCAGGAGAGATATTTAGGGACTAATCTGATGACAAGCAATGATGAGAATGATATTGTACATGAATCTAGCGGTCTGTATTTTCATACTTGAATGATTTTTGCTTTTATAGATATCTATATATATATATATATATATGTATATGTATGTATGTATGTATGTAATTTTTGACATTGGTCAAAAGAGAGAAAAGGACTATGTCTTATCAAGTTAAACATATCGTGAATAAAATACCCTGTGATTTAAAAAAAAAAAAAAAAAAAAGGCTGAGAAAATGATGACTCAGACGAGGGACCTCACTTCAGAAAAAAAAAGATTGTAAATAATCTTGGGCTTCCAGTCTTTTTTATGATTATTTTTCATAATTGTACAACTAATAAATGGCGCAATTAGAAATGCTGACTCTTGACTCTTTAATTTGTCCGTTAGCTGATCTTGTTTAAAGGTGCAGTGTGACGTGTGTGTTTGACGTCAGCTGGCGGTGAGGTTTCAGACAACAACCAACTGACACGAAAACGCGACCGGTCGTATCTAGAGCCAGTTTTTGGTTTGCATGTTCTGTGCTACTGTAGAAAACATGACGGCCGGCTATGTGAAGAGGATCCGCTCCATATGTAGATATAAACCACTCATTCCAAGATAACGAAAACACAACGATTCTTATTTTCATGTGATTATACACAAAAGAAAACAACCTTAATAATGTTATATTCCATTTCTACCAATAGATCCCCTAAATGCTGCACACTGTTCCTTTAATGTTGTTAAGGGAGTTATTGCATTCTTTCTTTCAAGATTTTGACAACCTGCAGTTCTGCTGCAGTTATCACAGCTCAATACTGTCCATGTTTGTCAAAGGGCCTGTCAATTTTTTGTCCTTGACTTCATTTATCCGAATGTAGATCCTTTGATACTGTTGTATTTAAAACTTTACGGGTGTGAAACTTTATTTTGAAAGTATTTTGTGTCCTAGTTTATTTTTATTAGCTCAGATTAATTAAAATAATTATCGAGTACATTTTTTTCAGATTGACCCAGCTCCAGGTTGTGCATGATTTATTTTTTAAATGAGTCAACAGAAGACAATTACTACAGCTATAATTCAAATGCCAACAATATGTCAACAATAACTCATTTAATTGTTGCCTCAAAATAATTTGTATTCTTTTTTATTTTCATAGTTTCCTCTTGTTGTCTCATTCTAGAGAACCAAACTTCATCCATCAGATTTGTTTTAGAATCTAAATCCTAATGCTGGATTTGCAAAAGCACATACAGTAGATAACGAAACAGATAAATAAATAATTGTCTTGTATGTTGTGTGTTATTCTGTTCAATCTTCTGATAGTTTTGCAGTAATGGAGCCTTTATGCTGTCTGTGACACCTTTTGTTTTGGAAAACAGTCATTATACTGGAAAGTCTTTCCTTAGAATCTAGACATTACCTTTATTTATCACCCACACTAAAGCTGCATCATATCTTTGATACAATGATGCGAGTGCTGGTATGCAAATAAATAAGAGTTGTAATGTTGCGTCATCAACAGAACAACAGATGATGATTTCTGGGGCAGATATGAATATGAATTTGCACGTCTGCTCATTTTCATAGATGTGCAACAGATGTATGCAGCTGTTCATGGAAAACAGACCGGCTGCTCATTGTGATGCTGACATTTGCAGACAGGCCTGCTTTGTTCACAAACTCAGCACAGCTCTTCACAGCATGCAGTCTGTAAACAATGTGAATAGCTCATAAAACAAGCAATGTGGTATTTGTGATGGATTACTGTGAAATTTGGTACGCACGTTCATGTTCCCGTTGATGTGAATTGTCATGATTTGGTTGATCGCTTAACTTTTTTTATACCTGCCCAACATGCAAGCATTATCATTGTGAGCATTAATATTCAGGTCAAAGCACCACGTCTTGTTGAAAAGATAAGTAAATAAATATGTCAACTTTCAAAATGCAAACAAAAGTAAAAGCCTCTCTTGTTTACACACACTATAGCCTATATTTTCCGTATTTAACAAGTCATATTTTGACATTTTTGTCGTTTTATTCCATCTGTGTTGCGTTTACTTGGCTGCTCTCGTTCCATTGGCTGCTCCATGGAAACGTCTCGATCAGACGTTCACTGATTGGCCACACACACCGACCTGTCCGGAAGCTGACTGGCTCACCTGGCTGTAATGATTTCCCACCTGTTCCGTGACTACTCTTCGTGCAGTTTCACTTCCAAGATCAGTGCTGCTGTCGCATTGGGAGGGAAGTGATGGACTGACTTCTGAATAACAGCTCTTTTATTTTGAATACGCACTCTGCACGACATCTCCGGTGAGCTTTCATGAAATCCTCCTGTTTGAAGTGATTGTTTTTCTCTGCTTTATTCGTGGAGACGACGGAGTTATGGTGAAAAAGTATTTCAGTTTATCAGTGCAATCACCCTCGTTTAGACTTGTGTGTGTGTGTGTGTGTGACACATTTGCAGGGAACAAAGTACTTTAAAATTATAAAGGCTTTTATTTTGTAATTTTCTGTAGCTGCAGCTGTTTTTAGGAGAGTGACTGGCCCTATCTGCACAGTGTCATCCTCTGTCAGTTAGCAGCTTGGTGTAGTAGTAGTGGGTGAAATACTTAGCAAAAGACATAATCCCACATATGACCAGCATTACTCACTTTTCATGCTCTATAGAAGCCCACATTTCTTCACAAAGATTACACAGTGATCACTTAATCCCTGACTATCTGGTGGTTTAGAGGTTGAGTCAGGGAAAGTACAAATATTTGCACGTAAATGTCAATGATACTGATTTTAGTGGGACAAGGTGCCAAGCTAAACATTAATGAAATAGTTCTGTTCTGTTGTGCAACCCGCAACTTGTATTTACTGTTAATCATTAATCTCGCTCTATGGCTGCCCTTGAATACATACTTCACATATTTGGACCACCTTTTTTTTTTTTTTTTAAAAAAA